AGCAGCCTTGGCCTCCTAGTCCCGCACGACGTGGGCGATCATAGCACTGTGCTGTAGGGGTGAGTAGAGAATAAACCAACCGCCACCACCAATGATAAGAATCAGTAGCTCTCAGATCACTGTAATTTATTTGAATATCTTGTTTCTTATTCTTCACTACAGAACTCTCTACTAATACTCAGAGACAGTGGAGGATTTTATCTTATTCTCAATATTCATAGAAAAGAGAAAAAAATGAGTGCCAGAATATGATGATGAACCTGTTTAATAAGTGAAGTTTCTGATGAGTAATGATTTAATGTATTGTTAAGTAATGAAAGAATTTATATATTTAAACCCTCATTAATTTATTAAAATGCTATTAATTCATTATTTTAAAAATTAAATACCCAACTGATAATTAAATTTAAATAATATTAAATCTAACTTTGTTAGGTAAAAAACATGGGCCATTAATAGAGAGAAGGGATTCTAGAACTTTAAAAACTTTTCTTAAAAAACAAAATAATAATGAAACTTTTTTTAATCTTAATTAAATTAAAATGCAGCATATAAAATAATGAATGTGTCAGCATTAACCTGGTTGTGAACTTCAAGAGCTACTGTTGATTACTTAAATATATTTTAATCAATCTTTACCTTTGGGATCAAAATAATTAACATCATCATATATGTATCCATTTCAGGAAATCATGGATCTGAAGAAGTAACTTCATCAGAGTATCTTATAGTTTCATTAGGAGATCCTATCATTTCATATCTAAAATCTACCATGGGTTAAATTTTGCTTGGCTTTTGTTTTTTTTCCCCAAATTCTCCCAAGGAAAGAAGGTAGCAAAGTGACAAAGACATTTAAAACAATTATGTAAAAAACTGCTAAGATTAAATATTTTAGGAAACATGTTCTTTGGTTTATGGAGTTTTACTTAGATTATTTTTATAAAGATTGTTGCTTGTGTTTTCTACCATGGTTTACGTGAGCTTCCTGCCGTCTGCTTGTGCTAATATTATCTGTCCACATACCTCAGTCTTGTTATTTTCTTGATTTGGTCCATTGTCTCCTTTGTATACAAACATATCATGTATATGGTTTTGTGTACATGAGACAGTCTTTTTCTCTATGTAATGCTCATTTAGGAGCCTTCTTTTCTTGTTTTCTTCTATTCATTTATCTGACCCATACTATGTTATTTGGCTAATTCCTTTTAGATTTAAATAAACCTGAAAATTGTAATATTTTTATGTATTAACTGTTCCCATTTATGCAGAACTTTTGGATAGTCCTCTTTTTTCTTGAACAACTGGTTATCAAATTTATTCTTTACTTTTGTTATATTAGAATTTTCCCACATGGAGTTAGTGCCATGGGTTAAGATTTCCACATCTTACCAGCTGTTGGACTACTCAGGTTGCCTCAGGTTGCCTAATCTCATTTCCTCAGTCTTCTCATCATTAACACGGGGCTAATAATTACACAGACATGATGGCTGAAACGTCAGCGTTAAGCAAAATAATTAATGTCAAACATCACATAATGCTTCACACACAGCAAATCTTCAGTAAATACTAGCAAGTCTGTTTATAAAATTGCTTTTGTTCTACTTGAATGCTGTGAAGATATATTTAGATCTATTAATATACAGAATTTAACTATAATACCTTTTATAGTATAGTAACCATTCAAGGTGTCTTATCAAGGTATTCTGAATATCTTTTCTTCATGAAAGCTTAGTACAAAAGGCTAGATCCAAGCAGAGATTTAGAGAGATACCAGCCACTTTCTCCACTCTGAAGCTATAGTAGTTATCCCAAACAATGAGAAATGCAAACATTGTAGCCTTTGTGCAAACCAGTAGTATGAAGTAAAAAGACAAACCTAGTTTTCATGCAAGGCCACCATCTAATGTAAGTATGCTAAGGATACTTCTATGCCAAGAAATCAACACATGGCCAAATATAAGATTTCCTTTGAGATTGAGGCCCAAGCCAAACCACCCTCACTGTCTTCTCTGATTAACCTCCATTAGACCAAAATATGACTTTCATTGACATCCCTGGGGCTTCATTTGACAGCTGTTCATTCTTCCAAAGATATGTAATAAATATTATTAAACAACCATGAGAAAGATGGCTGCTATTCAAGGTGGAGAATACAAAGTACTTTGCATTCTGTATTCTCAGTTCCATGACAAGGAGAGATAGTGTAATTCCCCACTATAGGGAACAGTGTCCCAGGTTTTCTTAGACATACCTAGTTTAAATTTTGGCTCTTTATCTCCATAGATACAGTTAGATAATTTGTTCCAGATTTTCATGCAGGAGATAGTGTCAGTGTGTTGACTGACATAAAGCAAAAAGCTATGGGTACCTGGAGAAGGAGAACCAACAAATCACTTCTTTCTTAGAAGAGACAACATCAGTCTTGAATGCTTGACTCTCCTTGGACACTGAGTAGGGTTTTAGATGAGAGATGTGTGTAACAGGATGGGATGAGGGGAATGTTAAACATGTTTAGAGGGTGGAACTTCTGTAGAGTGGAGTGCCAGATGTAAAAGCAGAGAGCTATGAAATGATTTAGGAAACAGGGAATTCAAAATTTTAGTGTAAAATAAAGTTGAAAATTTGAGCGCTTTATAGTAGAAGGCTTTCAATGATAGGCTGAAGAAATTTGGTAATTTTGCAGTCAATAGTAAATAATTGGAGTTAGATGAACAGAGTAGTAACAGAAATGCAAAGGATATGGAAGAAAAGGGAACTTGAAGATCATCTTCTTCTCCACATCCCTCATTTTACTGATGAGAATACTGAGGCTGATAGGAGTAAAACAAGCTCAAAACCCCATTTAATGACCTGTTTCATACATAGCATTATTATGTATTCATTGGCTTTAGATAACTTCCTAGATAATTCTGTTTAGATATTTTTAAGTAACTCAACTGTAAATTTGGGAGGAGGGGCTAACGTTCTGAATGGTCTTCAAATAGAAACATAAATTTTAGCTTTGCCTCTCACTGTGAGGCTTTTTGCCAAACTGCAAGACTGATTCACTGCCATTCCTCTAAATTCGCTTCTTGCATTTGGAGCACATTATAATAAAAAGAAGCTGCTTTTAGATTTCTGGTGCCAAAACATTTCAGGGAAAAAAAATCAAAGATGAGCTTCCACCTCTTTACAAAATTGCATCACTGCTGTTTTATTCTTTCATCTTTATTGCAAATATTTAAACAAAAAACAAATGTCATCAGCTAAAGATTATGATAAATTTATTGTGAAGATAAACAGGGCTCTAGATATCAAAGTTGGTGAGCAGACTCGCCTTTATTAGATGTGAGTGCAAACCTAATCTTCACTGTAATTACTATACACCAAATTAAACGAGATACCTTTCTTCTAAAATCACACTTTTTTTGTAGATGCTTGCAGTCTGTTTTTTAATGCCAGTATACTAAAACTGCCCTTCGGCAGTATCTCTTTGGAAAAAAAAAAAAGAATGAGAAAATTGAAGAAAAAATAATAAAGCAAGAGAAGACATAATAGAGGTGAAACATGGAAAGTTAATTGTTTTAAACCGTTTTTTCTTAATTGTTTATAAGTCTCTCAATGTAGCAGAAGACAAGAAATTAAAGTAATTAATTAAAAAATCTTGAAATTAATTGACCCGTGCTAATTTCACCAGAATTAATCTCATATATCTGCATATCATATTATTTCTAAAACATAAAACATTCTATCAATGAAATTAATGAATTATATCATCACATCCTAAAGTATCTGGGACAGCACAATACTCAATAGCCAAATTCATTGATTCCTGCAATCTCAATCATAGCTACCGTCTCTATATTTAGAAATTCTACCATTTACTTTGAAGAAAATATTGACTAATTATCCCATTCCAGCTACCAAAGTATTGCAAGAATAGAAAGGGTCAGTAGCAGTGAGCGATAGTTTAAGAAACTAGCCACGGACCAAAACAGCCTGCGAATGCTTGGCTGTGTGACGACAAGGTTGTTGATGCCACAAGCCTGTGATGGGCAGCAGGCAATATGCCAAACCAAGAGACCCGCTTCTCTACGGGCTGGCTGCTTAACTCGGGCTGATTTCCCTTTAGCCTCCCAGGAGCCCCGGTCTTCGCAGGCGTTGTCAGGAGAATTCTTCACCCTAATTATCCGTGGAGGAAGACGCGCCTTTCCCGGAGACCGCTAGGCAACACTCACCACGGCAGCCTCCACATTACTTCCCCCCGTGGGTGTGTGACTTCGTCTAAGCAACTCATACTTACAGTAGATTCTCACTGGCGAGGCTGCGAGCAGCAGAGGGCGGGGGAGCTGGGAAGAGGAGGAGGGAGGAGGGTGGGAGGCGCAGAGCCGGGAGGCCGAGGAGACGACGGAGCTCCAGACTCAGCAGGAGCGCGTCGTGGCGGTGCAGTTTCAAGCTCGCCGGCCCAGCCGCTCACACGTCGCCTCCTCCCCGAGCAGCGGGAACCGCAGCAGCTCCGGGCCGCCGCCGCCGGGCTCCGCGCTCCTGTCCGCTCGCCGCCGTCAGTCCCTCCCCTCGTCGTCGCTCAGCCCGCAGCTATTTCCTCCTGCCTCTTTGAACTCTCTGGATCTTTCCTTTGCTCGCCTCTCCCGTGTTTTCCCCACCCTGTATTTTCCCAACTCCTCTCCTCTTCTCCTTAGCCGCCCTGCTTTTTTCTCCTCTTTTTTATTGAGGAATTCTGCTTGACTTCAGATGACCTGTCTTCCTCACCTTCGTCCACTTAAGCCCTGAAGACTGAAAAGGAGCCTTTATCTTCCTCCCAGTGACATTTCAAAGCCCCCAATCCTTAAAAGTCTAAAGAGGCAAGGAACAGGACGCGGGACCTTCTCGGCACCCTTGAGTCCAGTCCCGAATTGCACTATCAACCGTAACTAGTATTTCATTGAACCCCACGGGAGAGGAGCAGGGAGCAAACTTCAGCCCTCTCGGAGGATCCGTGGTTCCCACATTTGTACGAGCCGCGTGCCAGAAGGTGAAGGAGCTCACGGGGAACGAGGAGGAGCCGCGAGCCTCTGTTGCCCCCTCCGCGAGGCGGGAGCCGTGAGCCGTGGACTGAGCGGCGCGGGACAGCGGCGGCGGAGGCGGCGAGGAGAAGATGCGGGGCTCGGGGCCCCGGGGTGCGGGACGCCGGCGGCCCCCGGGCGGTGGCGGCGACGCCCCCAGCACCCCTGCGTCTCTGGCCGGCTGCTACTCCGCACCTCGCAGGGCCCCCCTCTGGACGTGCCTTCTCCTGTGCGCCGCACTCCGGACCCTCCTGGCCAGCCCCAGCAACGAAGGTAGAGCGGTGGGGGTGGGGAGCGCGGTGACCCCGGGCGGAGGGGCGAGGCGGGGCCTGGAAGCGCGGGTCTGAGCGCTCTGGACGCGGCTGCCGCGGATGAAATCGCACCCTTCGTCTCGAACTAACATTTGTTTTCCGCTTTCGCTAGCTTTTCCCTCGCTCTCCGCCTTCTCTGGTTGCATTGTTTGACATTAGCTGCGGAGTGCTCGGCGACGAACCTGCCAGTGGACCGAAGCTGGCTGGGGGGCTGGGAAGTTGGAAGCCAGGGGGTGAAAGGGCTCCGAGACCCTCGCTGGGTGGTTGGGTGCGTCTGTGCCTCACTTGAAGCGCGTGTGGAAGTGATATTCGGGGCTTGAAGGATTGGGAACTGTTTGGAGCGCAGTGACAGGGATCTCGGGAGCGGTGGGGCTTTTAGAAACCGTTATTTGAGGCCAGGGATGGGAAACGTTGTGGAGGTGGCTGAATGCTTTTATTTTGAGAGAAAGTGCCTTCTGGGAGGTGTTATTTAGGGCATCACCAGCTGCTATTCCGGGGTGGCTGGTGAGAGCCGTTATTTCTCGAGGGAGGGGAATGGCGTAGGACGAAAGGCGCCCCACACTGTGGGGTGCCCTTCACTTTGGGGGTTCATAATCACACTGAGGCGAAAGTGGAAGAAAGCAGAAGGTGGGATGCCGCGGGAGGGGGAGGAGGGTGGGGGGGTGTCGCCGCCAGGAGGGTGCTGCGGAAACCCTCTGGTCACGTCTCCCCATGTTTCCGTGAGGGAAAAGCCCCGCTACGGATCCTGGAGTCCCCAGCTCTCCTCCCCACCCCCAATCCTGCGCTCTGGACCCAGATGACTGTCCCCGCCTTGCACCGGGAGAGTAGGGCCGGCGCGGGAGCAGCACCTGCGCGGCGCTCTCGACTCTCGGAGCTGCGCTCAGCCCCTCGGCCTGCGGGTTCCCTCTCCCTCCTCTCACACGGCCGGACAGCGCTCAAAGGCGCATCTCTCTAGGGTGGGGGGCAGCACCTCAGATCCGGGTCAGGGCTGCGAGGAGCCCTCAGCTCCACCACGAAAACATCGGAAACCCTACCCCCTCGGCTGGAAGACTGGGGTTTCGATTTGGGGCTCCACATCCCCCGCGTGAGGCACAGCAACTTCGAAAATTCCTTCCACTCGTGGGGCAGGGAACACTGGACGGGAAAGATGAAGCAGCCGCGGCGGAGTCGTGTGTGTCCTCGTGACTTGCACGGGTTGTGTCTTGGCTATAGGAGAAGGCGCTGAGCTGGTTTCGGAACGCTGCCAGCTCCCCAGCAACCGTGTGAAAAGCAGGGCAGATCGAGACAACTCACCCCACCCCATGAACTTCTCTGTTTAACCTTTAAATTTATTTTTAAAAACCTGATTTAAGAATTATACGTAGATCCATCTATCTACCTACTACCTACCTACCTACCTACCTACCATCTCCCATGCTTAACCCAAGCAATCTGCGTTTTTTACCTTCCCGATAAAGTTAAAAAAGTATTTTCTGAAGTCGTAGTCCTTTTATTAACATCTCGTGTTAGATTAATTATGCTAGAAGTCTGAAGGATTATGACGGTTAGGCGTCCTTTTATCAATTTACTCCACTGAAAGGGGCGTACTGGTTTGGATTTAAAGAGTAATAGTAATAGTAATATAATTTATCCTTTCGTGTTCCCATTAGGTTTCAGTTTCCCCACCTTCCCCCCGCCCCCAGGTGTGATGGGGAAGGGGCTTATCTAGAGGTATAAGGGAGTAAGTAGCTCTTGGTTAGAGAATGGGAAGAAATGAAGTCTTTGGGTGGGTGGCGCTAAATGGGAGCAGAAGTAGAGGCTATTCCGGGAGGAAGAGGCTAAAGGAAATGGAAGCAAGGAAATAGCACTGGTCTCCTAAGGTGTTGTAAGCGAAGCTGGAGTCTTGTGGAAGGCAGACTGGATGATATTACAGACTTAACAACCACAACTTGTGTTTTCCTTCCCCAGTGAGTCGAACACGCAGCAAAACTTGGGCTTTAGTGAGATGGGCTCTAACCAACAATGAGCTGAGCAGTACTTTACCACCCAGTGTTCTGAAGACACTAAATATAAAAGCATGTCTATCTGAGGCACATTTTGTAAGTCTTTATTTTACCTAATTAGAAAAAAATTTTACTGTGTACATATTTCATCTCACGCATCCCACCTCTGCCCAATGCAGTTTCCCATCTTTCCATTAGTATCATCCCAGACCTTCAATATTTATGTTCTTCTCCTTTTTGTTTTTCCTCATGATACTGCTATTCTGAATCAAAGAACAAAAAATAAGATATTTATAACAGTAATCGATTTGTTTATTTAAAGATTCAGCCTCGAGTTTTTAAGTTTGTTTTTGACTGTTTCTGGAGGGACTTTGAAAGATCAGGGGCAGAAAGGTTTGGTGGGTGCACTGACTCCATTAATAACTTGCTCTCATACACTTTGCTTTCTGCAACCTATTGATACCTATAGATATTTCTCAGACTGTAGTGTATATACACATCATATATGTGTATGAAATGAATGTTTCCATTATGTGAGAAAAAAATTTGAGGCAGATAGAAATAAATATCAGTTTACATATATAATTGGTATTCCAGTCATTTTAAAAATTTAAGTTTGGTAGACATAAATAAACAGAATTGAACAGAAGAAATAAAATATATATCTAGAATATTGGACTGATATGAAATGAATGTTGGAATACACTGGATAATAAACAATAAGAGGAAAACTTACTCTTTAGACTGAATTCTAAGATAAGCTAAATATATCTTTGTCTTATTACACACATTAGGCACAAAATAACGTGTGGAAGAAACCTTTGAACTACAGTGTAATACACAAGACTTTCGCTGTAAAATAATCCAAGGCATATATAAGACAAAAAACTTATCTATGATCAAGCAGGACAAATATTAGCAAGTGTATCAACAAGTGAAAATTTTAATAGATTTAATAAGAGGAGCATGTCCACTTATGAATATTGGAGGTGGCCCTGGACTTATTCAGTAACTGCCACTTTTTCTGTCTGGAGATATATTTGTAAACAAGCATTATTTGACAAGTGCTTTTCGCAGCAGGGATTCTTGGCCAATTACTGCTGAACAGCTCTGCATTGAAAATGATTCACCCGCAGTGAATCAAGCTTAATTCATTGAAGCTACAGTCAGTAATGTCCCAGTAAAGTGCTTCTGACAGTTGTCAGCAGTTTGTATTTGAAAAGTCCAGTTCCTTGTCTCTGAATGTTTTGTATGTTTGAGAAAGTGGGATGGATGGGGCTCTAGGGGGAAAGAAGCACACACGTAAGGGGAAAATGTGAGGGGCTTAACTGTTTGAAAAACATTCATAAAATGTAACTGTTTTCAGTGGGAAGAAAGAAAAGGAAGAAAGTTTGTTTAAGGGTTTTTCATGGTTTGTAATAGAACCAGGCCCATAAAACGATTGGACAACATAATAGATTTGTAAAACTAAATGGCTTTGTTTTGTGGTCTTGTCATCCGGTTGTAATTCATTTCCTTTTAGATAAAGAAGCAGGACCCTATAGAAAAAGGACAGTAAAATTATTCCCTCACCAGGATGCTACTGAGCAAAAAAAGAGAGCCATTACCCCTATTTGAATCATAGATTGTTGGAACTAGGAAGGCACCATGAAGAGTTTTGGCTTTTTACTTTATAAACCATGAATGGAGAGCAGAGGCTTGGGTCTTGAAATTTTAAGCCTTTTTTGAGGTAGACAAAGATCTTCTTGGGTGTCAGGGCAACTTGTAAGAGGATTTCATTTCCTCATATTAGGCAGAGAAGAGGTTGGGCAATTCCTGCATTTCTAATGGGTATTTCTCCATCAGTTGAAAACATTATTGTAATATTGTCACTTTAAATATTGTTAATTCTTTATTTAAGCCCACAAAGGGAATAACCGGTATGGGAAATGGATTCATTTTTTTATGCTTAAGAAATGTATTATTTGCCACTATTTGTATTACTACTACTCTGCTCTACAAAATGTGACCATTTAGAGTATTTATACAAGAAATATCAAAATGAGATGACATGCTATTTATAGACAAACATCCCCAAACTATTTAACTAAATATTAAACATTATTCAGTATTGCTACTGTTGAGAAAATGACTATGCTTTAGTTATTTTCACTGCATTTTTGTTTTTGACTTGAGCACTTGAATCTCCTTTGTTGTTTGCTTCAGTGGCCAATTAACTTCTCTTTCATTTGGAAGAAACCTTTCTACCTTTGACTGTAAAAATAGAGTATAATATGCATGATTATATTAACTAACTATAGTCATTTTTTCCTTTTGAGTCAAGCTTAATGTTCTTTTTTAAAAAGAGAAATGTGCTGTTAATATCCTGAAGAAAAACTACTGTGAAAAAGTATTGATAACACTTTATACTTAATTTTTTCAATTTAAATTAGCAAATACTTTTCATTTTACTAATGAATAGCTTGAACTTCAGTTAGCAGAGGTATCTAATAGTTCAAAGATGATTATGGCATATTAGTTTTCATAAAACATCAAAATTAACTGAAGTTTGAACATTCAGCCTTGCTTATAAATCGTTAAAAATTGATTGCAGTATTCATCCTTTTGTTTTATTTTCAGAAGGGGTGACTTTTAACTATAAAAACAATAAGAGAGCTGAAAATAAAGTTCTTAAAACCTTAGAGACTGAATGATTCTTGCTGTTCTCATATCTCTGATGAGTATTTATTTATCTATAAAACAGAATAGTTCCTACTGGTGTGCTCTGCTGGGTAAATACATGTTTAGTTATTTTATCAAAATTTATATAATCAGTTAGTTAGGTAGTGATTTCCTCAAAGAAGTTATCCTAGTCTGTTGTATACATAAACACACCTAGTGATATTTTTAAATGACATTTAAAAATGTATCATATATTCTATTGCAGAGTAAATGGTGTACTTATTTCTATGAATGTATACAAAGGAAGTTAAAATATAAA